CCATACTGACATAAATGAACATTTGCACGATATTCTAATTTTTTGAGTTTCACCTGTATACAAATATTATACTAATTAATGAAATACAGTAGTTTATTCCTTACAAAGCTTAACATGTAAACACATAAGGTATTTATTTCAAAAAAATTAAAAGCCTGCAACCACAAAACAGTTTCATCCTTTTTTCAAATGTTAACCAAAGATGGAGCTGACAATCTTACAAGCAAGGTACAAGTTCAGGAAAAACTATCTTTATCTATAGTATCCTACAGTTTAGTACCCAGAGCTTCCATGCACGCAAGCATTAGAGGTATGCGAAGTATTTCAAATCTGAAATATTTTAAGCTTAAAATGGATTATTCCAACCACTGTGGGAGCATTCTGATGCTGTCTTACCTACACCAAAAGTATTTCAAGCTCAAAGCAGCCAGTGTAAGCTCAGAACACTTCTGGTAAGGTTGGAACCATCAATTTTGAATACAAAATATTTTGCACGCCAGTAATGAACACAATAAAATGAATGGCAGCTATCCAGAATATTTACAATCCGAGAAGCAGAGTACAGTGAAAATTGGAAGCAAACACCAAGTCCAAAAAACACTAACAATGCTAAGACAGAGGAGGAGACTGGCAACAGCCCAAGAAAGAGGAATTCTCTAAATGTACTAGAAGTATTCGGAGCTCACAATGGCTATTTTGAACTTGGAACACTCTCACTATAGGTGGAGCAGCATCAGATCATTCCCACTATGGTTGGAAATATTTTAAGCTTAAAATGTTTCAAATGTCCAACTTTCTTCAGCTGCATTCAGTATATTAACAGAGAGCCATTTTGCCTTTTTTAACTTTTTAAATTTCTGGATATTTTTCTATGCTCTGTCTTAAATGATGCCAGAGTTCTTCAGGCACTCTGTCAATTCTAGTCCATTAAATCTACTCTTTAGCTTTCTCACATAATCGCATGGAATACTGCTGAGGTTATATTCTTCTTGGTCTGATTTTTTTAAGCTGTAATTTTGCAAAAACAAGTTTGTGATCTGAACCAACAATCAGTGCCAGATCTTGTCCTTGCTGACTGAACAGAGATTCTCTCTCTTTGCTTGCTGAGTATATAGCCAATCTGATTTCAGTCTTGTCCATCTAGAGATGTCCATTTGTAGAGACATATCTAAATATCACCATATTATTGATTGGTTTGTTTAGCACTCAAATTGAGATTATTCTATCATTTCTTGGGTGTGCTGCAGAACTGACTTTGACTTCCTTTTGTTAACAGACACTCCATTATTTTATGGTCTTTTTGCCTGAAGTAGATCTGATGCTCCTCTGATATGTTCTATTTCATATCAATTTGCTGATTCCCAGAATGTCAATGTCCAGTATTGATATTTCTGCTCTGACAACATCATGTTTGCCTTGGTTCATCATTTTGCCAATGTTGCAATGCTCAACTTTCCTTTTGCTTCTGGTCACTTCAGGACTGGCTTCAATCCAGAACAAGCACCAGTGTTACTTATGTCAGCCCTCTGCTCTTCCCCAATAGCTTATTGGATACATTCTGACCCAAGAAGTAACCTAGTATCATACTGACACTGAACAGGCTGTGAGTGTCCATCTGGTTTTCTTGGCAGAATATTAGAGTGGACTGTCATTTTCTTTTCCAGTGGATCTTATTTAGTCTTATCCCTCTACTGTATTCCGCCTGTCATGGGTGACTCTTCTTGAAGGGCACACTCTCAATAGCATAGCTCATAGCCATCATTGAGATGTAAAATCCCTTCACCACTATAAAAGAACAATTCATGAAGAGGAGTTTCTGGATTACCCATTGGCTGATTTGGTCCTGTAATCCCCACCTCTCCCAGATCATATAAACTCACCATTTTTTCTGACTGAACTTTGGTTTGTTGCCTTTTTTGCTGTTCACAACATTAATTCTTCCATTTTCTATTCTGATTCCATCTAGCCTACATGGAAAATTTAAAAATTATTCACAATCACAGAAGAAAATCACTGTTATAGCAATAATTTATTTTGAAAGTAATAATATATAACCAACAGAAAGTTATCTGCCAATGTTCAATACATGGTATTTTTCCAGTATTGAGTGCATTTTTTTTTCAGGAATTAGAAAAATGTCTGCTTTTGCACATAGTTGTTTGTCTATGCTAGCAAAGTAAAAAGATTACTGAGGCTTCCTATAAACAGGGAAGCTAAACAGGATTTGTAGCATTGCTCCAAATCTTTGGTAAAAAGTCCATAGCTAATTGGTTCTAATTTTGTTATTATAATTTGAGTAGCATTGTAAATGCAGTAGAATTTTCACTGTCAACACACACAAACAGGATGCTACTTTTGCTATTGAGCTTTCTGCATGTTTGAAAATGAATTCAGCTGGATGGTTCAAAGAGCAAGGTGGAACCCTCCCCTTAAGAATATTTTCTGTTAGTACAACATTGATACAACACCATACACAATTAAATACAGAAAGCCACATGTTTTCAAGTATCTTTTCTGGAGGTACAGTCCTACCCATTACCAGATGCTTCAATATTGGGTCCAGGTATTTAACCTAAGGATTAAACTATTAAGGGGAAAAAAATCACACATACAAAATCATATAAAGGGATCACATACCTTGAACTTAAACTACTAAGACCAAATTTCTTTGCAGCAATTTGCAACATTTTAATAAGATTCATTTCTTCTCCCACATCTTTGCACTTTTTAGAAGTGGTTTTTGATTTACTCCTCTGTTTTTCATTCATCATCTGCCCTTGGTTGTGTCTATAAACCGCAAATGCAGACTTGTTATTAACATCCCCATGAATAGCTATTTTATTCAAGTTTGTAATTAAGTTGTCTTCATTCTCTTCCACTCTTTCTTTGTACACCATTCTGGGCCTGTAGCCATGAATCAGCATATCACATGAGTCTGTGTAAATGTACTGGAGAAGGTACATAAACAAGTCTGGATGAAGTTTCTCCATCACAAAAAGATCACAGCCAACATCATCTTTATCTTTACGGTAAAGGTCAGCAGAATCTAACCAACTCTGGTCTGATACAAAGAGTTTCCGGAAAAAATCAGAGCGCATTGCCAACATGTATTTGTGCACAGGAAACATCCTAGTGCCAACCTGGAAAGTTACGTCATGGATGGTGTCCATAACTTCAGCTTCTCTCAACAACTTTCCAAAATCTTCAGTAATGGTGGATCTTGACACATTTGGAATTTCATACAAACTGGAAGAAAAAAGTATATAAGCATTAATTTTTCAACAAATCTAGCTTTTAATATACCCTATAAAAATATTCAAGTTTGATGGAAAGAGAAAGCAACAACTTTAATGACAGGAATTTTTATCTTCTGATGAACATCAAAAGAAACAAAACCATGATGAAGGAATATGATCTTGTCCTTGACATACAAGTGCCTTTTAGATATGCACAAATATATCCACCTTTTGGAAGAGAGAATGTGGGAAGCTCTCAGCTGCTGACTGTAAGTATCTTGAATAAAGAGCATTCAGTTCATATCTATCTTTTAACAGTAACAAAAACATTTTCCCATTCTGAAGATTTAGCATACTGTCATTTACTGTATTTATATCCATATTTTTCTTAGTTTTTTTTTTAATTTAGCCCAATATTCTTTTATTTGCTGACAGCAAAGCTGGGCTCATCACCCCTCTGCTTAGTCAGGTAGAAGTATCTACATTACAACCTTGAATGCTAAATATTAATGAGGTAGGAGCTTGACTAATGTGCATAAAGGCATAATTAATCGATAGAAAGAATTCTCCATCCACTAGCACTATTCCCTCCAGCAGTTTCAAACATATTACTATATGTACTCAAACCTTGTTTTGGGATCTGATTGTAAAACAGCAAGATTACATCCATTAGGATCTGTGGTAATACTGACTGCTCTGTGAACAAAAGCAAGTTTCTCAAGTTGTATTCGTTCATATACATTGTTTCCATCATAAGATGAGAGATCACTTGACGAATTCTGAAGATTTGACACAATCTCTGTAAATACAGAAAAAGTTAATTAATTAGATGATCAGCAGAGGAATATTTTTATTCGAATAATTTTACTGATTCCTCTAAGGCTGAAAATTTATGGATTCATATTTTTATTAAGTTTCATATCTAGTTTGCTTTCTAAATTCTCCTAATCAGGCCCATAACCACAGGGGGGCTTGGTTTGCAGTCAGTTTCCTCTCTGGGCTTCTAAACTTTCACACACAAATTAGCAAAGTAAAGAGTTTAAGATTTCTAGAACTTTGCAAGTAACTTAAGAGTAAAGACAGACAATAATGATTATTCTTTTTCTTTAAGGGCTCTTAGATCTGAAGGCTACAACCTCTTTCCCCAAAGCCACTGCTACCAGCGATTTCTTATAATATTGGATTTTATTTATGAATTTCTTTATTTAAGCAAATGTATTAAGGGGCTGTCAGATTTAGGCACAAGCAAGCTCCATCTTAGGGCTTCTGTAAGGTCTGCAGCTCACACGGGCTGCCAGCTCAGACACAGCACACACATTCCCTCTAACCAGACTGCAGATATCTTCAATCCACATTTTTGATTGAAGCAAGGCTCTTGTTCATCTGCACTAGGACTTAGATTCCAATCCCTCTCTGTGTGCTAGAAAATGAAGAAGTGTTTAAAATGTTCTAAATTTCATTTTAAATCTTGCAGCAGAATTGGAGGAGGAAATGGAGAATCTTGGTACTATGCTTAAGAAGAGAAGAGAACCAACACGGTTCTGACCCTCTAACGGAAGCTGAAATCTACAAGAAGCTGGAAAAAGTCGGGGAACCACAGCAGAGAATTTTGCTTCAGGAATCCATTTATCTCTAAGGAAAAGATTAAAAAGTCAAGCAAAAAAATTGCATTAGAAATTTGATATTTATCTGTCTTTCTGGTACTAGTTAAGCCTTGCTGTCTCTTGTGCTTATTTTTTCTGTGGAAGTAGGATGTGTTGTCTCATTATTCCTATGATGAGCTATAGCCAAGTTTTAGGGTTTTTTTTTTCTTTATTAACTTCTTATGAGCTGAAAGGTATCCTAGAAGCAGTCTCTATTCTAATCTCACCAATTTTAGCAGACCGCTGCCATCTTGTGGTAGGTCTAGAACACTACACACTTTTTTGCATGTATATAAACATCATCATCATCATCATCATCATCATCATCATCATTATTATTGAATACAGAAAACTATACCAGCAAGAAAAAAAGATAAAATAGAGGTTATACAGTGAAAAAAACCCTAGGTATATTGTGGTGTTTAAAATAAACAAAGCATGACAAAAAAGAGAAAAACAGGATAAGTAACAAAAAAGAGAGACAAGATGCATAGAATACTCATTGATATTGCTATAAAATTAAGTTCTTAAGTTGGCATTTTTTAAAATGTTATTTTATTAAATTGCAAATACATTACAGTAGAGTGAAACAGCTTATTAGCTATATCTACTCTCTATCATGTGGACAAGTATATTATTTTTAATAATTATAGCAGAGAGATACTGAAAGATAGAGATTGGGGAAATGATAATTTTGATTTTGGATCTGAAATGTATAAAAAGCCTCAAGCTAATCAAGAACATAAGAACACTGTTGTATAAAATAGGTACTGCAGAAATTAAATTGAGGATCAATTAATATTAAATTACTGCAGAACCAAGTGCAATTCAGGGGGTAAAAAATCTCTAAATGGTACTAAAGCCATCACAGCCATTGATCACAAAACTCAACTTGGTAGGCATCATATTTAGACTTAATTTGGTGTGAAACACCAAAAGTGGGAGAAAGAAGCCTATCTCATACCATGTATAGGACCAGGATTTTTATCAATAAACACTTTTCAGGGTGTTAACCCTTCTTTTTGAATGAACAAGATAAATGGATCATTTTACTCATGAGGCAACAAGATAATTTAGGAAAAGAAAATGGGTAGCTTTAGTCCTGGGAAAAGCATCAAAGTACACTGGAGATCCTGACCTAGTGATAGATCATGATGTATGATCTTGGAGACTAAGCAATTCCTGAATCAGTCCTTGATCTGAACTAAAAGCCAAAAATGAACTGAGGCCCCAAACCTAAAAAGAGACAACTAATGCCAACTAAACTGCTTTTAAAGTAAGGGTTACATGTTTCCTATCTTTCTTAAAAAAAAAAAAAAGTTTGATTTTGTTTATCTCTTGTGAGATTGGTCTATTGTCTCCAAAGAGGAAAAGACTGAACTTCCAGGAAGTAGCATTCAAGGAATTCTCTCATGTTTTCCCATTCTGACTTCTCAATTGCTAGATCAGGCAGCATAGGTGGTGAAAGTTCTATCTCTCCATCCACAGCTGGTTCATAGTCTTTAAAAAGGCTGCCCGTAACCCAGGTTAGGGGGAGGACCCCAGTTTACATGTTCCCTGGAAGACAGATGGTAGGAAACCTAATTTACCAAGCTACTATTCCAAAAAGCAGAAAGTAAGATTAGGGTGCGAAGACCCAGAGGGTCTCTCAAAAAGGAGGTCTAAAACCTGCACCACCATAGCCTCATATGAGAGACCACTGAAAACAAACAGGAAAAGAAAGGACTAACTTTCAAGTTTAACACATTGGATTTTCTTTTAAAGATTTTTCTAATAATAGATAAGCCTCTTGAAAGGTAACTGTTTTCCTTAAATTATTAGCTTTTCATTGCATTTTTGCCAACTTTTTTTCATCTTAGCGTCTTTCCCACATGTGCAGGGTCCGTTTTTACGGATCAACTAAATGTTGATCCATTGGTTGCCTGAGCATGATGTTGGGGGCTTAGAGAGAGCCACTGGCCCAAAGTCATCCAGCCAGGTTTCATGCCTAAGGTGGGACTAGAACTCCCAGTCCCCGGTTTCTAGTCTGGAATCCTAACCACTAGACCAAACTGGCTCTCACATTTTTGCCAACTACCTTAAAATAGTATTATTTCTTACAATGTTTCTTTTGTTAAATAAGCTTTCATGACTTCAAAGAAAATATCCTTCATAAGTTGCTTTGTCAGAAATAAATCTAATACAGTAATTCCTAATATGAGCACCTTACCAGATAAAGAAAATGCTAACCCTTCACCTACTATATCCACTGCTGCTTTTGGAAATAAAATGTATCACTGAGATGTTAATAAGAAATGCAGCAGATTTTTCAAAACCTTAACATCAAACTGAGTAACTCTATACCTGCACAGCTTCATCTTTTATCAAATCCAAGGACTATAATGCCTGACCAACACAGAGGATCCAGTATATCTGATTTAAACTGTTGGGGTGGCTAGAGAATTCAGTAAATTTGCTGCATTTGGTTTTGTTTTGCAAGTACAAGATACATTAACTGGAAGCAAACAGCAAGAAAAAGCAACAGGTTTTCCAAGCGTACAATATTACAAGCCCTAAAACTTCAATGGCTAATTTTCTGAAGCAACAAAGAAAAGAATTAACAGGAGAAACTAATCAGAAAAAAATTGTGGTGTGATCATACATAAAATAACATACTGTTTGAAGCATACTGCTGAAGTAATATATAGGTAATTAAAGAACACACTAATAATTATAGTTCAGAGTTCTTACTATATGATTTTTTACTTAAAAATACATTAATTTAGAGAACTGCGATTTCTATAGACTCCTGCATAAATTTCAGTATAATGCCTCAGGATATACTTTGCTTTATGCACACTTCCCCAACCCAATTTTTGTGTACACACACATACAGGTAGTCCTCAATTAATGACCCTAATTAGGACCGGCAGCTCCATCGCTAAGCAGTCATTAAGTGAAACATCATGTAACTGCGCCAACTTACGATGGCAGTGCCATGGCCAGCTTGGACTCTGATGAGGAAACCAGCAATAAGCAGCCAGTTCCAGAGTTGCCAGATGAACCACTGCCTGAGGAGCTGCAGGAAGAGGAAGCTGCACCACCCAGGAATCAGGAGACACAGCTGCTACCAGTCTCAGAAGATGAAGAGTCTGAGCTGCCACCCCCTCCCAGTGCAAGGGCTTGTTGTGCAGAGAGGAGAGCACAGCAGAGCAAAGGCGCTCTGCAAAGCTCCTTGTAAGAAAGGAACCTCACCCTTCCAAATGAGCAACACCAGGGTTGCTTCTATTTAAAAAGAGCAGTGACCTCAAGCCTCTCTGTTGGCAACAACCGTTCGTTTACCCGGAATCCATGTGCCTTGACTCCCGCCTTGAAACCTCATGACTGTGACTCTGGATCTGGACCAGCTGACGACCCTTCCACGACCTTTGGATTCTTTAACTTCACTTGACCATTCTTGTACCTGTTGTTTTGGATTTAGAATTCTCTCAAGGCAAGCTTGCTGGACTTTTGGGTACTTGATTTCTCTAGTGTGCGTGCATGTGCGTTTGCACTCACATTTCTTTTGCCGCTTATGTGCTTCACAAACTTCCCAGTAAAGTTTGCAACCACCTCTCTGTGGGTGTGTGGCCTGAGATAGGACAGGCAGTTCCAGCAGTCTCAGCTGTAGTCATTAAGCGAATCACCCACAGTGGTTAAGCAAGACATCACATGACCATGACTGGCAACCTCCTGCCAGCTTCCCCATTGACTTTGCTTGTTGGAAGCTGGCTGAGAAGGCTGCAAATGGCAATCATGTGACCGTGGGATGCTGTGACTGTCGTAAATGCATGATAGTTGCCAAGCACCTGAATCATGATCACGTGACCATGGGGACACTGCAACAATCGTAACTGCAAGGACCGGTCATAAGTCACTTTTTTCAGCACCATCGTAACTTCAAACAGTCACTAAGTGAGTGGTCGTTAAGTGAGGACTACCTGTATGCCCCAACATTTTACTCTCGCTATGCAGTCAACCACATAAGGGCAGCACTGCATATCAGACCAACATGTCATATACAAAGCAGTATGAAACACAATTATTGGCACTCCAGCGGTTCGGGCCCAGCTCCGCGGGACAGGGTGAGCTCCTGTCCCTTGTCCTAGCTCCTTGCCCACCCAGCAGTTCGAAAGCTATTCCATCTGTGAGTAGATAAATGGGTATTCTATGGGTAGATGGGAGGAACCAGCGGTGCTACGTGGGGGAGCAAAATACCGGTGCTAGCCGAACTCCGAATGCAGCTGGCGTAAGCGATGAGCGATGCGAGCGGCGAGGAAGATCTACGGAGGAGGAAAAGCCTGGATGACCCCCTAGCGGCCCCTGCTGGTCTCACAGCGTAACAGCACTAATTGTATAATTGTAAGATTTGTAAGATTTTAAATTTCACTGTCTCACTGTTAGAATTATATATACAGTGGGGCAAAAAAGTATTTAGTCAGCCACCAATTGTGCAAGTTCTCCCGCTTAAAAAGATGA